CGCGCGCCGAAACTAGCAGCCAAGGGATCCCGCCGCCGCCGCCGCCGCGCGCCCGCTCTGCCCGCGGAGCACTCAGGACACGGGAGGCGCGCGCGTGGCTGCAAGGGCTCCGCGCCGCTCCCCGGCTTCCCCTTGCCTCCCGCTCTTGCGCGGCGCGCTTTCCCACTCGCTCCGGCTGCTCTAAAAGAGAATAAGAAGCAGCGGCGGCCGCGCTCGCCTCCTCCTCGCTTTAATGGCGCCGCCGCGGACCACCTAAAATGGCCGACGGAAGAACGGCGCGTCCCGGTCACGTGACGCCAAGCGCGCCCTTCGCGCCGCCCCCGCCCCTTCTCCACCGGGTTTTTTTCCCCTTCCTCCTCGGGCCCGCCCTCTCGCTCCTTTTATACGGTCCTCGCACTCTCCGCGCCGCACGGCGTGGGGGACTTTAAAAGGAACCGGAAGTGTCGTGCGATACGACGGCCGCGCGAGGACCATCGAGAACAAGGGCGCCGATTCGAAGGCGCGGCTAGAGGGGCCGCTCCCTCCGCCCCCGCCTCCGAGGATTCCTGGAGTCCGCTCGCCCCTCCCCGCCGCCCCCCGTAGCGGGCGGGCGCCTTTGCGTCAGGCCGGGGTGTGGCTGGGCCCCCCCGCGGGCAACGCGCCCCTGTGCGCCCGCGGCGTCCGGGCGAGGAGAAAGGCTGGTACCCGCGGCTTCTCGCGCGGGAAATGCCCGCCCGGGAGAGGAGTCGGCCCCGAGGGGTCAGGCCCGTGTCACCGCCATGTCGCCCGCAGCCTCTGGGGACGCCGGACTCTGCAGGCGGAGGGGGCGCGGGCGGGCGGCGCGCGTGCACGGATGCCGCAGCTTCCCCGCTGTCGCCACCGGGGCCGAGGGCATTGAGGTGCCCTCCCCGCCGGGGCCAGTGGCAGTGAAGTCTCCCCACCCTGCGCGGGCTCCGGGCAGGCCCGGCCCGGCCCGACGTCTAGGACTTGTTTTAAGATTTGCTTTCCAAGGGAGGCTTTGGCGTGCCTGCTTCTCCCCTGAAAGTGTCAGAAGCAGCAGGTAACTTGCATATTTTAGGGAACGGCTGGTTTTTGCTTTGCCCGTGTTGTCTGAGGACCCTAACCCCTACCACGATTCTTTTAAACGACTAAGAGTGGGGACTCAGTAAATCAACCAAAGAACATGTTTAGGTCTTCTGCTAAATGCCGTGAGTCGTCTTTACGAGGTTGCGGAGTTTGTGTTGAGGTTGTGGCTTTTGTTTTTTAAAACACCGTTAGGCTTTTCATTCAGGATTGCAGTCAAATTATTTAAGATAACTATTAGAAACTCCAGACGCCTTGGCTGTGAAGTGGAGTATTCAGGTTTGAGGTTTGCTGCTTTCTGCAACATTCCAAGAAGAAAGTGAAGTTTCTAGGTACTTCTGTAGTCAACAAATAATTATCTGCCTATTTAGTATGTGTCCAGGCACTGGGGAGACAAAGACAAGTTTGCAAAACCCAGCAGAAAATTCTTATAGTTTAGATACTTGTTTTCCACTATGTAGTTAAATGAATGTGTAATAACTGGACACTATCCAAAAATCCCAAAGGAAAATTAAAAATAAGGTTTTCCTTATTAATAAAGTTAGAATTTACATTGCAGAATAATTAAAACTCAAGAATACAGGTCAAATTCTGAAAATATCTTAAAAATGTAATCTTACCAAAGTCCTGTATTAAGCAAATCACACAAAAGTAATGCCAAGAAAGTTTGTCTTAGGTGAAGTTCTGGTCTCTCACATCTGTCTCCACCTGCCAGAATCTCAGCCAAGGCTGAATGGGTATTGTTCTCAAACCAGACACCCTAGGTGAGAAGAAGAGGATCACCAAGGAGATGATGGACAAGCAAAGTCCCTTGAATCTTCTGGCCTCAAGAGAGGATGATTCTATGATTTATTTTGTTTAGGTATCATTAGACATACCCACCTTTTAATAACAGTGACTTTCCCAAAAGGGTCATTTTGAGTCACATATAACCCAGTAGCTTCTAGAATTCTTGGAATTTGTATCAGAAATTCCAGACAACCTCTAAATGATTTTGAAGCTCATATCCTTCGTGTATGCAATTTGAGTATATGTAATGCCACATCACTGGTCCAGATCTCTGTATCCTGTTTTCCTACATCCACCCAGCGTTCCTCTTAGGACTTACTTAACTGAAGCCCACTTATTTTAATACTCCTCATATGCCTAAAACTCCTTGCCATCTTTCAAAACCCCAATCAATGCAAAAGATAAGTCACAGCAGACCCCGAAGGGAGAAAAAAAAAAAGCCAATCAAATATGACTATTGGCCAGGTGTAGTGGCTCAGTCCTGTAATCCTAATACTCTCGAAGGCCAAGGTGAGCAGATTGCTTGAGGCCAGAAGTTCAGGACCAGCCTGGGCAACATAGCAAGACCCCATCTCTACCAAAAAAAAAATCTTAAAAATTAACCGCGGCCAGGCACAGTGGCTCAGCCTGTAATCCCAGTACTTTGGGAGGCAGAGGCAAGAGGATTGCCTGAGCCTGGTGGTTTGAGACCAGCCTGGGCAACTTGGTGAGACCTCATCTCTACAGTAAATTACAAAAACTAGCCAAGCGTGGTGGCATGCGTCTGTAGTTTCAGCTACTTGTAAGCCCAGCAGGTCGAGGCTGCGGTGGCCATGAGTGTGCCACTGCACTCCAGCCTGGGTGACAAGAGTGATTTTTTTTTTCCAACTCAAAAAAAATGAACCGCATGCACCTGTAGTCTCAGCTACTCGAGAGGCTGAGGCAAGGTTCTCCTCAACCCAAGAGTTGGAGGCTGCAATGAGCTGTGCACTCTGGCTTGGGTGACAAGTGAGACCCTGACTCAAGGAAAAAAAAGTTGCTATTTATGTAACATCTTCCCAGACTCCCTGACACAGAATCATCCCTTCTCACAGCTCTTTATCCTTTCCTCTGTTTTTTTTTTTGTTGTTGTTGTTTTTTAAACCTCCCGAGTAGTTGGGACTACAGGCATGCACGCCATGCCCCGTTAATTTTTTTATTTTTGTAGAGACAAAGTATTTATGTTACCTAGGCCGGTCTCGAATTCCTGGCCTCAAGTAATCCTTTTACCTCAGCCTCCCAAAGTGCTGGGATTACAGGTGTGAGCAGACACACCCAGCCACCTCTGTGGAGAGGAGAAGGAAGGGGAGGGGAGGGGAGG